CAGTTTGCCATTTTCAGTTCCCTGGTAATTCCTTTTACAGCACACTATTGTTCTGCAAGATGTCAATCAGTAACAGTTCTTAAGAATATTTGCAAGGAGACTACAGGGAAAGGCAACCTGAATAAGACACTCTTTTTTGCCATTCTCCTATTGATAACATAATCAGTGCCTTATTTCAATAATGCAGATATCTGATGCATTTTATGCACCATTGAAGAGTTGTGAATGTAAAGATCATCTTCAAATATTTCAAAGAATTCAGCATTCTAACTCTCACACCCAAGATATGTGTAACTTTACTAACAAAGCTATTAGGTCTTCTTCCCTTTTTTCAAATTCTATCTAATATTTGTGTATGTGTGGGTTTATGCATGCACATTGATCTGTAGACAACTTTCAAGACTTGGTTCTCTCCTTCAACCATGAGTTCTAGGGATAAAATCAGGTGGGCAAATTTGCACAGCAAGTGCATTACAGGCAGGACTCTCTTGCTGGCTGTTAGATTTATTTCATTAGTGACTGCTGAATTCTTTTTAAAACAGCTTCCAATAGTCCTTCTATTCTTCCCTACACTCATCTATACCTAATCATGTTCCCTGATGCTACTGATCATTCTTTTCAGCATGTTTTAGAATGTCAAGTAACACCTGCTTCACAGTTTGTCCTTTTTATCCCTATCTCAAGTTGATGGGGGATGTCCTTCCATATATATGTTTGTTATTGGCTGATAAATAAAACACTATTTGGCTAATAGCCAGTAGAGGCATGAAGACAGGCTGGACTAGAAAATGAAGAGAATTCTGGGAAAAGCAGGCAGACAGGTGCTGTGGGGACACCATCCAGCTGACAAAGGAATAACAGTTCCGGGCATTCTCCAGTAAGCCAAGAGCATGTGGAAATATATAGATTTATAGAAATAGGTTAATACTTAGGAAAAAACTAGCTAATAGGAAGCCCTAGCCATTGGCCAACAGATTTATAATTAATATAAGTCTCTGTATCTTTATTAGGGGCTGAGAAGGGTGGTGGGATCTGATGGAACAAGAAAACCCACTGCAACACCAAGTATGTGATGATGTCTTAACTTTTCATTGTTTATTTTTAATGAATATTCTGACCTTTTCTATCTAAACTTGTAAGAATCTCATGATTCAGTAAAGTGCACTAAAGGAAAGAAATCTAGGATGAATCCCAGTGTATGAATCCCCACTTCAAACTCAGATAAATCACTGACCCACTGTAGAATCAATTTCTTTATCTATCAGTGAGAGGCCTGTTAGGTGTTGTCTAAATTTGCTTCTAGTTCAGGAAATTATGTAATTTCATAATCTTGGAACTCTAGCTAACTCCTGTCTATCATGAATCTACTTATCTACCTGCCTACCTATCATCTGTCACTCATTTGCCTTCAGTGGGCTTTTAAGACGAAAATACACTCAACAGTTTCCCTCTCCTAGTTTCACATGACAAATTCTTTAATATTATAACACTTGTTGTGCTTATTTACCTTAACCTGTATTTAGTTTTAGTGATAAAAATTTCTATATGGTACTTCAAAGAAAATGGAATTCATAGCTTGTAAATAACTTGTACTGTCAGTTTCAAAGCTTGCACTTAGGCTACCCCACTAATGAGCATGTGCTCAGGTACAAACACATACAGAAAGACATACATATAAACACACATAAAAACATAATACATAGACAAATATACATATGTAGACACTTACAGATACACATAGCAAATATAGGTACATATACATTTTTCTGTCCTTGAACAACACTGATGGAAATTCACCCTAGCTATCTATGTTTATGGATAAGATCCATTCTTGGTCAGCTTTACTTGTCTCATGTGGAGATTTGGATGGGAATAGCCACCATAGTTGGCTTAGGGTGTGTGAAGAATAATGAGATGAAGCCTTGTGGTAGTAGGTGTGGCCTTGTCGAAGGAAGTGTATGACTGCATGTGCATTTTGAAGTTGCAACAGCACAATCCAGACCCAATGACTCCTTCCTGCTCCATGTGGATCCCAGATTCTTCTCCAGCACCATGTCTACTTGTATGTTGCCACACTTTCTGCCATGCTGATAATGTACTAAACCTCTGACACTATATGCACACCCCAATTAAATGCTTTCCTTTATAAGAGTTGCTCTTAGTGTTTTCTCACAGCAATACAACATTGACCCAGATATTTCATATCTGAGGTTGAGGTAATATTCACACCTCAGGGCTCTGTTTTTTGTGATCACATGGAACAATCAATGCATAATGTTTAATACAATGTTAGAATATGACAATTCTATAAATGGCAGGCTATTCTTTCTCATTATTAATACTCTACCATTGCAACAGAGTTCCTTAAAAGAAATCTTCATGCTTGTTCCTCCAACAGGGTGTAACTGCAACCTGGTAGAAAGAGTTCCACAAATCCCTAGATCTACTTTTAATAACCTCTAGAAGAGTTGTTATTTGAAGATTTTTTTTCTGGAGATGATAAGGGATTTGTTGTCAATACCTGAATCTACACTCCATAAGAAGAAACACGGAAAGTTTGTTAGATGATATAAATGTCAGCTGGGGTTCACATCACTAGTGGGGAATTCCTTTATCTCAGAGCTAGCATAATCAAGGCTCCACAGTATTTGTTTTGGTACTGCAGGAACATTTCCAGGTTTTGTTTCATGCAGATCTGCACTTCTGAGTCCACACAGAATCAGCCTTGTCTACACAAACCCAATCAGTGGGCCTTCCCACTTTCTAAAGTTCACTTTCCATCCTCTCTTCCTCTGTAATAGAAGACAAATCTGAACTGATAATCATGATCTTCAGTTCTGTGACTGCTTACTTAGTTTATTTGGGATTCTACCTCCTCTGACTGCTTACTCCTGTAACATGAGTTTTTTCTGGCCCAACTGATTCCTTGGCCCTATTTCCTCATGACCTTCACTTACAAGGCAAAAGTTCCAGGCCTCTTACTTCATTGGGGTCTATATCACATCTGCTAAACATCTCCACAGAGAAGAAAAGAGAAAAGAAGGGAAGGGAAGGGAAGGGAAGGGAAGGGAAGAGAAGAGAAGAGAAGAGAAGAGAAGAGAAGAGAAGAGAAGAGAAGAGAAGAGAAGAGAAGAGAAGAGAAGAGAAGAGAAGAAGAGAAGAGAGTATATAAGCTTGTCCCTGCTTATATACTGATTCTGCCCTGCTATGTCATTTGCTGCCTGGATCATATAGCAACTTTCCTTTACTACATTTTCCAGAATCCTCCTAGTCCCACCTATCTTGATTCCCTATTGGCCAAAAGTGCTTTATTCAACAACCAATAAAATAAAAATATACAGAAGTCTTCCCCCATCATACTCCCTTTGTGCTCTGGCTAGTTTTTGTTTTGTTTTGTTTTTTGACAATTTGATACAAGCTAGAGGACAGATATTATGTTAAAATACCTGCATAATATCTGGCTGTAGGCCATTTAATTTATTAGTGACAATGGAAAGGACCCTGAATATTGTGGGTGTAGCCACCCCTGGGCTCATGATCCTGGACTGTGTAAGCAAACCATTAAGTCATGAGAAGCAAATCACTAAGCACCCCTCCTCCATGGCCTCTGTGACAGCTCCTGACTCCAGGTTCCTGCTGTGCATGAGTTCCTGTCCTCACTTACTTCTTGATAAACAGTGATGTGGAAGCAAAAGTCAAACTAATTCTTTCATTCCCAAGTTATTTGTGTGTGTGTGTGTGTGTGTGTGTGTGTGTGTGTGTGTGTGTGTGTGTGTGTGGTTTTCTCATAGTATTTAATCATACCAATAGAAATCCTAAGATATTTTCTTTAAGACTTTTGCTCATGTCATCCCAGTAAATCCTGCATTACTGATTCTCTTTCCTCTCATACTAATCAAACCAAAACTAACAAATTCAAGGATCCACTGTCTTTAAAATATAGATCTTCTTCCTCAATTATGAACATCCTTGTACTCTATGACATCTTGCATTCCAACTTTCATAGGAAATTTTCTTAATCACCTATCTTCTTCCTTTTCTTCCCTTCTTCCCTTCCATTCATTCTACTATCAGTCAGGATTTTTTACTTTAGAATCAAATTATTCACTGATAGGTCATTATGGACTGTGGAGTACTGCTTCAATGGATTTACCTGCCTTGCCTCTTAATAAGTGAGCATGTTTTACTTAGTATGGCTTTCCCTTTACTTCAGTGTCATCACATATTTATAATTCTCCGTTTCTTCTGTCCTTCATTTCCCATGTATGACTACTTTCCTTTCTGATTTCTTAAGATATGTCTTAGTCAGTTTGGGCTGCTATAGCAAGACACCATAAGCAGGGAGATTTATATGGAATAGAAGTATAATAGTCACAATCCTGGATTCAGAAGTACAGTCATCTTATCAACATGATCAGATACTGGTGAGGTTACTCTTTAAGTATCAGGTAGTCCATCTGTTTTAGAGTCCCTAGCCTCATTTTTTCCTCATATGTATTCCCAGAAGGTTCCCTCCATCCAATCCATACTTTATAAGAAATCCATTATTAACAAGGATTTTAATTATCTTAAACATACATGCCTCTTGCGGACCTTGCTGTCTGAGTTTCCTTTTTTCATATTTTTTAGCAGCACTCATATTTATTTATCAATCCCCCCATTCCCTCACTGTCCCATCCTCCCATGCTTCCTAACCCCCATCCACTTTCCAGGAATAGTGAGGCCCTCCACCAGGGACCAACAAAGTCTGTCACATCATTTGGGGGAGGGCCAGGCCCTCCTGCCAGTATCTGAGCTGCAAAATAAAAAATAACTGAATTTCTAATCAGTGTTTCTGGGTTGAATGACTTTTCTGAGTTCCCTGAGTCCTCTTCCCTTGAAGGCATTCTCAGAAGCCCTAGCCCTAGACTAAACAAGACCTTTCACATTTCCTGGGAAGCTCCTCCCTCAGTTAGTTCTTATACAGAAAAACAGCAGGTAAATCAATACTACTAGTTTACCTTCACTCCCCATACCATCCTTTGTTTCTCTTCTCACTGCTAACTCCACTTATTTGTGCAGCTCCACATTCATGACTGTCATGGATAATGACAGTGGGCTTGTTGTCTATTTAGAGGCATCACTGGTTTGTCATTTCCAGGCAAATCTCTGTTAGTCAGCTCTTCTGTGGCTCTTCCATAGACAGACTTCCCTTCTTAAGGAGAAACCCGAGCATATGCTATGTCTTCCCTCTCCTGAACTATCTGAACTATCTGAACCTTTTACCTGATGTCAAGGAACACAATTGTTCTAAGGGTTCTAGAACCTTTGCTTACCATTTCTATATTAAGCCTGATCTTTTTCTTCACCTCTTTGTTCTTTCTTTACCTCACATTAAAGGGGAGTCATGCTGTCTCATCAGAACTACAGGCCTCCTACACAGGTTAAAGAAGATCCAGAAACTAAATTTAGTAGGAACTTTAAGAAATATTGGCTGTAGAATATGTAATTATTTCTAACCTGAAAATTACAGGGGTCTGTTGTGATCTACTCAGGTATGGTATCACAATCATAGAAACTGTCAAACAAAATTAAAGAAAACCCACTTATAATCTGCACTTCACTCTTAAGAGAACACAAAAGGAATAGTGACATAACATAAAGACTCCTCTTAGTGATTACTGCCACACTACAAATTCTCCATGCAATGAAGATCCTCATGATCACCCAACTCATCAGTTGTTTTTTTGTCCTTTATTTTATTTTTTGTATCACTAGCTAAAAGGTAGTACTTCCATTCACTAGTGCAGCAAACCTTATGTACACACTACTTTCCAATCTCCCATCCTTCATTTTCAGGTTGTGACATCATCTCTACCAAATCTTTGCCAGAAACCCAAGCTTTCCAGTCTTGAATACTTTCATAAAGAAGACAGGTGGAGGAAAATCCAACTCTCTTTCATCATCCCATCCCCAGAATATGAACAATGATGGAAAGCCTAGTAAGTGACCAAGTATTACCAACTGGTTTTAGGACGGTATCAAAGTATGGGAAGATTGGTTTTCATTATCAGCTTGATTACAAATAGATCACCAGGAAACATGTCTCTGAATGTCTTTATACTGGTATTCATAGAAAGTTTTAACCAAGGATGGAAGGTTATTCTGAGTATGTGTATACCAACTCACATTGTGGGAGTTTTGTAAAATATTTGTTTCCATTTTAAAAATGGCAAGATTAATGACAGAAGCTTTCTAAGCTGTCTTTCTGAGAGAGAAAGAGAAGCCCTTTGCTGAGCTGCATCATTTATTCCCATGGGTGGAAGGAAAAGAAATGTAGCAAAAGAATCTGAGGAAAAAACAAACAAATAGATCAGGAGCCTCTTGCAGAGTGAAATGACCATAGGAAAAATGGAACATTAACAAAAGAAAGAAGAGATACTTGCTAGTACAAAAAAGAAATAACCCCCCTAAAAAAGAAATAAACCCAAACAAACTAAACAGTTATGCATCAGCAGCTTGTTACTCTAGCTAATGAAAGGATCTTATCAAGTTGACAGATGGCATTTTACCTACTCAAACATAAAACAAAAATTCATCTTTACCTGATTTGTGTATAATGCATAGTCCATACTTGTGTTAAAGCAGATATATGTTATCTTTGAAAATTTATTTGCTTACAAAATAAAAAAGGACCAGACGCCAATAGAGACAAGTAACCCAGGTCATCCAGCCTGTCAGGATGCCTTTATTACAGTTTCCTCAAAATTCTGCATCCAGAATAATTTTTAGGACAATAATACATGCTACAATAGAAAATGGCTTAGACATAAAACTTTGGACTCACTAAGATAGGATAGACAATATAATGCTTTCTTAGAATCTTCAAACAACAAATGGACTGGACATTTCTTGTATGATTTGTTTAATGTATCCTTGCTACATGAAGGTCCAAAGCTAATAAAGTCCAAGCTCCATGCAAATAGTGCAGTTCTGGAATGTAGCAATGAAAGCCCTGCTGTCAACACTTTAGTGACATTTAACAAGTCATTTTCATTCTCAGTTTGGGTTTCTCATAAACATAAAAAAATTTAAATACTTCTGAACAATCAGTCACTTGGAAAGGAATTCCTAAATATCAGTAGCTGAGTGGAAATAAAGGAAAGAAATTTGTAACAAGTATGTTATTAACCAAGATATCCAGGTAGGTAACTGGGGCTTAAACCCTGTAAAATGAAAACGAAGATAGATTTTAAATATCAGAAGGTATGGGACTTAATTTCTATCAAAAAAATCAAGAGCAGAGTGGCATTGCATACACGCCAAGATAAAGGGTTAATATACCTGACTTTAGTACAGTCAAAGAAGCATCTGCTGGCAGCAGAAGCTTACAGTCAAACAGTCACAATTTCTATCAATCAGAAGAACAGTTAAGATTTGAGAAAATATTAAACTAAGATGCTGGGGTGGGTATCTTACTATTTCCTCCTGGAGCAACTCATAATCACTCACACCATGTGAGAGTCACTCTGTCCACTCACCTATTCACATTGCCTTTTGTAAACATTCAACAGAAGTGTGAGTGGAATAAATGTGTTATCAGTTGAGTCTGAAAGTAGAAAAAGCATGTATTACCTCTTCCCGTTGTCATTTGTTCTATGTCATCCTCAGAAGCTCCCTCAGCTAGTGCTGCTGGTACTCCAGATGCTTACCTGGTATAATGACCAAACTCCCATTCCTGAGTTTCCATAGTGCTAAATACTGTGCTCTGGTCATATAGAGCTTCTGCAGTGTCCATTCAGTTATCATTATGCATGAGGGAATGAAGGGACTCTGGAAAAATTCTATGAATGCTAAACATGATTCTTTTTACCCATTTGTAGCAACAACTTTACCTCCTCTTGATAGCCATGACCAGAATAGTAACATCTAAATCCAGAAACTTTAAAGTTGTGGGCACAAGAACCACAAATACAACCAGACCAATACTGATTTATGCAGTTCTTACTTACATGTCTCAATTCTCTTTCTAACTACAATACCATATAATGGCTTTCCCTTTTGAAAACTCTGTTTCCAAGCTAGTGTCATATATTTAAGAACAAAATGACACAGTATTTCAAAAGGCCAGGAAGTTCAGTTATAGACACAATAGTAGAATTTACAGGCCCTGAGACCATGTTTCTCTCACGGGACGTTCATCTCTGCTAGTGGCTCCCTTGGACCTAACATCACCCTGTGAACTTTGATTAGGATAAGTCAGGCACTCCATGGGCTATGATTGTGATCAGGAAGGTACACATTTACATTCACTGGCAGTTTGAAAGTAAGCTACTGTAGCAGCCATAAGTGTCAAAAAGGCAAGGTGGGCATTGACAGAATCTACTGCAGAGCATGAATCTCACTTTCCTCGCATATTAATTAAAACCAATTATAATGCATCAGAAATAATTTGTATGTTATTGATAATTTATGACTAAAATGTTTTGTGATAGAAGCTAAAAACCAAAAATCCCAAATTCTAGAAAAGAAAATCTACCTTAAAATCTTCAGTTGTAGTTTGTTTTGTGTTTAGCTACCTATGGTCATTATGTAAATTTAGACTTAAGAAAATAAAAGTAGCTAACTTTAAAATATGTGTAATTGAAAACCATAAAATTTGTCTAATAAATTTCCAAAATTTTATTCCCATTCATAATATATTTTTAAAAATTAGGTAAAACTAATTTGAAATATAATGTCGTTGAGAAGTTTACAATAGGGGAGAAAGATCATTAGTCTTCTTGATTAATATTTTTAACTAATATATTGAATTAAAATAATTTGGTTTGTAATCATGATTATTTAGCAATACCCTTAATTCCTAAGTTGGTAAAAGCAATTCTTATATTTAAAACACTGCTTTTAAAACTTTCAGAATTAATTTTTATGTCTCACTTGTGTTTTATTCCAGCGAGAATCAGCTTTAATTGTTTTATTTTCAGTAAGTACATAACTGTTTCTGATAAAAAACATAGTTTTCATTAAACTATGTGAATGTTGGTTGAGATTGTAGGGAGAAAATGATGGTGCAGCCTTAGTCAGGAGGTTAAGGTGTGAAGTCCATGGGTCAGGCAAGTAGAAGGGAAAGGCCTACTAGGAAAATGTCTGGCAAGAACAAGAGGATCTGCTGAAACTCTAAGAGCAGATGGGACATCCAATTGCAGGGCGAGAACATGTTGGGATCCACCTGTTTCAAGAGGGACCATAAGGGTCTAATTGATTAGTCCAAACAACAGAGAGCATGAGCGATGCGATCTGGCAGAGTTCTCCTTTGGAATAATGAGAGTGTCCTTTGCTCTTGTCAGATTGGTTTTTAGTTAGTTACATCTTTGTAAGAATTGCTTTTTTTCTTTTTTCTAACATAGACAGTTTCCAGTTTTATATATTTTCCCTATTTGTCTTTCTGTTGTCTTTTTATCATTTTATGGTCAATTATAATTATAGTAACTAAATATGCATGTACACATATATTGTTTTAAGCAAATTAGAAATTCTATACCAAAATGGTATAAAGTCTAATTTTACACACCAAAGGCTGTTTAGCTATTCAACTCTAAGTAAGAAATTCCTAGTATATTGTCTCTCCCTGTGCCAGTAATGTAAAAATGAGCACAAAATTTTAAATGTGTCTGAAGAGTCTACCTGGATACACCTCAAACCTAAAAGCAATAAGAAAAATAATGGGCAAAGTCACACTGGAAGAAAAAATGTGGTGAGATCTTTCATGTCATTTGCAAAGGGCAATGATGAAAAGGAAAAAGTCATTAGTGACAACAAACACCTGTCACACGGCTTAGGGCTTGACAAGCCAGAACTTATGACTATACCAACATTCAAGATTAATGTTCTGTTTTGTTCACATGGAGAAACTTGGACATGATTAAACATCTGTTTACATACTCTCATGCTATACCCATAAACAAAGATATTTATTTTTCATCACCATTAGGAAAGACTATTCCATATTCTCATCTTCAAAATCAAAAATATTATTGTAAGGGAAACTGGCCTTATGTATCTCACTACACACAGGTACACACATCCAGAATGAGAGAGAGATTGTATTTGCATGTACAATATGTTTCTATTCTTAATTTCTTTACTTGTGAATGCCTTTTCTCTATTTCCAGAGATGTCTATATTTTATGCATATTCTAGAGGTAATACTTAGAAAGCAGTGTTTCAGAGTGTATGTCATTTTGGGGGATGTCTAGGTTAAAGTGGTTTATTGC